CAGACTCCATTTTGTTATTTTCAAGCTAACAAAAGACACAAGATTTCTATCTGTAAAACTAACCACTTTCCCAGAGCTAAAGGAATGCATAATATATACAAACCAAGTGATAAGGAAAACGGGGGTTGGACAGACTGTCTAAATGCTAATGGAATATAATCAATTCTAAACACAGACATTTGTGACAGAGGAGATTAAATAATAAAATTTTACTTTCTATATGTACAAGATCCCATTGTAAGTTATGGGTCAAAACTTAGTTATAACTGTCATATTAGAAATTATAGCGGAATTTGCCAGACACATAGTCTGGACAAAACTTAAAGAAACTGTTTGATCTGACAGAAAACTTAAATTATGGCAACCATATAGATAAGCCAAAATGACGTCAAAATAGCCACCAGGAAAAGTTAACTCTTTCCTGGATAGGTATGTTCAGTGGGACGAGACTGCCATCTATGGATCAAATACCTAAATCGCGATCCTTAGATTGGACACACCTATGGCTTCCTATTGGGTTATCAACTAATGACGTACAGAGAGTCTGGCCCTTTAAAAGTTAAGACAAAGAGAGGAGAGGGGGGAATTGGAAGTTTGGGGACTCCAACTCGGACATGCAGAGAAACCCAGGACAACATCTGAGACTAACACTCAACTCACAAACTCTTTGACACTTTCTAACCAACACTACTTTTCACTATTACCCACACACCTCCATGCAGAGAGACATCCAAACAAGTTCCTGAGACTACCAATTTGATGAAAATATCTACTCAACTGGTAATTATACTGGTTTCATTTAATTAATTAAATTAATTAAAATTTACATAGCATATATGACTGGATAAATCACGGTCAGATTTCCATATTAAGAAATCTTAGTTAACTAAAGAATATATAGTTATAAACATTCCATTCTGCAGGTGGAATTAAGAATAATTATATATTAATGTGATAGTATCACATGTTAGCATACCGCTGTTTTTATCCAGGTGTATTGATTTGCTCTAATATAAGATAAGATATCTTTTAGACAAATTAAATTCGGCTTTTGTAAAAATCTGGTAGATTATTCTTATTGGATGGTTCCAGGAAATGACTAATGAACTGGTTTAAATGTTATTTTATTTAAAATTACATAAGAATAGATCTTAATTACCTAGGAGATCTAGCCAGCATTGAAAGGGTTATTCAGTTGATCTAACTGTTAGCCAGGGTTTTATGGCCCTTCGCTGTGAAAAGCTTCGCTTTCTATGTCTGTAAGGATACCTCATAAATCGTGTAAGTCTTGACAGAAAATGTTGTTTAGCCATTGAAACGTGTATACCCATTCCATTGCATTGTATACTATGTTGTACTAAATACTAATTGATTATTGTCACGCATGTTACATATTATTAATTAATTTGTTATTATAAAATAAATCTATTTTTATAACAAATTGTGATTTTATTTATATGAAATACTTTTCACTTAACACGATAACGATATTTGGGATCTGAGAATTGAATTAGTGGGCAATTCTCACTGTTTACTATTATTATCCCATAAATATCCCCACAGAGAGACCGCATGGTCTGTGAGCTACCGGCATGAGCTGGGGTCATATCAATCAGTGTTCTGTCGTGCCTCCGCCTGGAAGAGTGGGGCGGCAACCCCCATGTGGTCGCACCTGTCAGTTGTAGTCCCCATAAAAAATAAGTGTACTTTTAGGTCAAAAAACAAACAAACAATAAAATTGCCACTAAGAGCTCGGGCAAAAATACCTGTAAGTATGGACAGGAACCCTGAGCTATACCGCAATTTCAGGTTGTGGTTGCATTGGTCGGTAATTCGGGTAGCCGTCTGGGCACAAATTCCGGGGCATTAGCGGTGACCCAGTTTGGAGGGTGTGAGGTCCCGGCTGGAGGCTTGGATGAGTCTGGCAATTCCATGGGGAGATCAAGCTGCCTCAGGGCCTCTGTTGCCTCCTGTAAGGAGCACTCCAGTGTCACTGCCTTGGCCGACTTCGGGGTCAACAGAGCCGTGATGAGTCTGCGGGCAAAGTGAGGTAACTCTGCTTCAGGTATGTCGTCTTTAACGCCCCTGATCGTTAAGTGTGTCAGGCGGCGTTTGTCTTCCATCGTGGGAAAATTTAGCTCTGTCATTCGGCTCTGCTGTTTGAGCTCCTTGATTGCGTGTTGCAGTTCTTTTATTTGGCAGTCATGAATTTCCTGTGCAATCTCCACTACTCCCAGTCTGCCACTTAAACCCTGTAAGGCCTCCCTGATCGAGGCCACATCGTCTGAGATCTTTTTTTGATGCTCCTCCATCAGTGCTCGTATTGCCTCCATGCTCACCGGCGTGGATGTTACCACAGCTGGCTGAGATTGCCTCCAGTTCGGAGGCTGCTGTGACTGGGCCGGAGGGGTCATCTCCTCTGCTTCATCTGAAGTTTTATCGTAGAAGTCCGAACATCCACCATGCATGGATGCCATTTTGGAGCCAGTTGGGCCTTGGGCCTGCCGCCAGAGTTCGTCGATGTGCATGTCCATTTTGGGTTTGTCAGGTTTGAGTTTTTTTATTTTTGCCCCATTTCAGTTCCGACGGGCTTTGGGGTCTGCATAGGGTGGGTTTAACCCGTTTTTGGAGGTTGTAAATGGTTTTTTTGGTTGAAGTGGCCTGGATTCAGCCATGCGACCATTCGCTTCAGTAGTCAAGTGCCGCCCCCATTTGTCTTTATTTTTATTTGTTTTTATATCTTCTTTATTGAGGTATTGATGTTTACACAAAAGTACATTATTACAATAAATAATTTAGTAACAATTTCACCACATCCAATTTTAAATTTAAACCCTAACACATTATAATTATCATTCATACTACATCCAATATTTATTCTGACACAGGGGAGGGGTGATGGGAGTTGGAACTAAACCTTGAATTTCTATTACTTATTAGCGTAATATTTATTAGCGTAGGAAGTTGTTTGCCATTTATCCCAAATTTTCTTTTATAAAGATTCAGTTGTTTATTCATTAAAAAGTAACCTTTCTCCATTGAGCATTGGTAATCTGGTAATCTGGTTTGTCATTTCATTCCAATTTTGGTGCCCTTGCTTTTTCCAGTTCCTCGCAATGCCTATTTTTCATGCTAGCATAATGTGCATCATTAAGTAAGATAGAGATTTCTCCAATTCAGGAAAGTCTAGATGGAAGAGAAGGAGCTGTGGGGTCAGGGGTAACTAATTCCCTGAGATTTTCAAGAGGAGACGTTTAAAATTACTTTTTAAAACATCTAAACTAGAGCATGCCCACCATAGGCGTGCGCACGGGGTGTGCCGGGTGTGCCTGGGCACACCCTAATCCCGCGGCCCACCTATGCATATTGAGACCGGCAGGGGAGATCTCAGGATCTCGCCTGGCGGCTCATGTAGAGCCGGCGCTATCCGAGCGGAGGCTCTGCTCTCAGCCTCCCTCCCTACCGACCCACATGCAGGGAGGATGGCAGGAGAGGACCGGCGGAGCTATTGCCGGCAGCTCCGCCGGGTTCCTCTCGCGAGATATGAGCGTTGCCACGGCAACGCTCAAATCTCGCGAGAGTGAACTCTAGCCCCACAGGAGGCTAGAGTTCACTCTCCACTGGACCACCAGGGATGGAATCAGCAGCATGATCCCCCCTCCCTACAAAAGGTAAGAAGGGAGGGGGGGATAGCAATTAATTTACCCCCACCTCCACCCCCACAATCACCCACCCACATACAGCACACACACATACAACACCCACAGACATACACAGCACACACACATACACAGCACCCACACACATACAGCACCCACACACATACAGCACCCACACACATTCAGCACCCACACACATTCAGCACCCACAGACATACAGCACCCACAGACATACAGCACACACACACATACTGCACCCACACACATACAGCACCCACAGACATACACAGCACCCACAGACATACACAGCACCCACAGACATACACAGCACCCACACACATTCAGCACCCACACATACACAGCACCCACAGACATACAGCACCCACAGCACCCACAGACATACACAGCACCCACACACATACAGCACCCACACACATACAGCACCCACAGACATACACAGCACACACAGCACACCCACACACAGCACCCACAGACATACACAGCACCCACACACATTCAGCACCCACAGCACCCCACAGACATACACAGAACCCACAGACATACAGCATAGACATGCACAGCACCCACAGACATAGCACCCACAGACATACAGCACACACACAGCACCCACAGACATACACAGCACCCACAGACATACACAGCACCCACACACATACAGCACCCACACACATACAGCACCCACAGACACATACACAGCACCCACATATATTCAGCACCCACAGACATACAGCACCCACAGACATACAGCACCCACAGCACCCACACACATACAGAACCCACAGACATACAGCATACCACACAGACATACACACAGACATACACAGCACCCACACACATACAGCACCCACACACATACAGCACCCACAGACATACACAGCACCCACACATTCAGCACCCATACACAGCACCCACAGACATACAGCACCCACAGACATACACAGCACCCACACACATACAGCACCCACACACATACAGCACCCACAGACATCAGCACCCACAGACATTCAGCACCCACAGACATACAGCACCCACAGACATACACAGCACCCACACACATACACAGCACCCACACACATACAGCACCCATACACAGCACCCACACACATACAGCACCCACAGACAGAGCACCCACAGACACAGCACCCACACACATACAGCACCCACACACATACACAGCACCAACACACATACAGCACCCACACACACATACAGCACCCTCACAAACACACACAGCACCCTCACACACAGCACACAAACAGCAGCCTCACACACACACAGCACACTAACAGTACCCTCACAAACACAAACAGGACCCTAACAAACACACACACAGCACACTACCAGTACCCTCACACACAAACAGCACCCTCACACACAGTACATTAACAACACCCTCACAAGCGCACACACACACACAAACAGCACCCTCACACACAGTACATTAACAGCATTCTCACAAGCACGCACACACAAACACCCTCACCCACATAGCACACTACCAGCATCGTCACACACACATCACACTAACAGCACCCTCACACAGCACACACACACACATGCAGTGTGTGTGTGTATATATATATACATATATATATAACAGCTTGAAAAAAGCTCAAGAATAGAATTGAGTGGACACCTGGATGTTCGGGTTCGCCGAGTTTGGCTGAACTTCGTCAAAAAGTTTGAGTTCGGGCTCAAACTTGACCCGAGCTTGACCCCTAACCCGAACCCCATTGAAGTCAATGGGGACCTGAACTTTTGGGCACTAAAATGCCTCTAAAAAAGTCCTGGAAAGGGCTAGAGGGCTGCAAAAAAAAGTAAAATGGGTGTTAGAGTAGGACAAGTGCCATGCAAACAAATGTGGATAGGGAAATCACTTAAAATAACATAAAATAAGCAGCCGCTTAGTAGATAACTCCCTAATTCCCACGGTATTAGGGAGCTATCTACCAAAAGGCTAAAAGACCTAAATTGGTCTTTCAGCCACATTTACTAAGTGAAGATTACTTATCATTAGTAAATACAGCCCCTACTCGCTATACCGCGAGTATAGGCATGTCTAGTAAACAGTGAGCAGCCAATTTAAAGCAGCACTATATATCGTGAAAAAGCTCCTCTCACATAAGTACAAAAAACAAAAATAAAGTGTGCTGTGCCTTTAAGACCATCAAACAATACAAGTGAATACCTTACACATAAATATTAATTTCCAAATTTTTATAGAGTGAATATGCTGGTCAAAATAACCAATCATAAGACAGAACTTTCGGACTCTTTTGGGTAAGCACGCCCCAGAGACTGTGATGGACTAGTGGGCGGATCTGATGAAGCCGAGCACGTCGGCGAAACGCGTCATCACACTCTGACGTCATTACATCCAATGGCTGTAAGCCCCGCCTCCCGGAACAAGTGTGAGTGGAAGTAGCCTTAGAGCTTCTGGAGCCTGTAAAGGACCGACGAAATTGTTTGGGACCATACCACATTTGCGAGGAAGAGGTACAGAAAGAGGACTTATAGCCAGACAACTGCTTTTTAATGTTTGGAGTGTCAAATAAAGGATTCTTACTGCCATCACAGCCTCAAGCCTCTATATACTGAGATGCCAACATAGTTCAGAGCAGACTTAATTGCTCTACTCTTGTGAGTGTTTTTGATCTATATTTTCAATATTTATGTTTTATGCATATTGCCCTATGAGGTTTTGTTCTGTTTTTTTCTTTTTGAGTATTTCACTGAAGTTCTAATAGAAGCAATTTCAAAGCTTCTAAAAGTGGGGTAACCTTCTAAATAATTTTATGCTTACTTTGCACATATGTGTTTTGTCACTAGTGCACGTTAACACTTTTTATTGGCACAAATTATTTATGTCATTGCACATGTATGTGGTATTTATATCACTCAATAACTGATTTGTAGTGTGTTCAGCACAGTTCACTCTATACAATTGGAAATTAATATTTATGTGAAAGTTATTCACTTGTATTGTTTGATGGTCTTAAAGGCACAGCGCACTTTATTTTTGTTTTTTGTTTTTTATTTTTTGTTTCTGTCTGGAGAAGTCCCATAAAAATATCACACAACACCGTAGAGGAGCCTCTCACGGTCCCCATGATTGCTCTGCGGTCTGAGTCCCAGGTCAGTTTCAGCAAGATGTCTCTGGGTGCATCGTGAGCAGTGCTGGAAGGTTTGTGAAGGAGGAAACAGGAGTCTACCACCACTTGTTTTGCCTGTTTGGGCATTAGCAGTGTTGCTATGAGCCTCCGGCAGTAGTAGGGGAGTTCCGGTAGCCCCCAGGTTTCTTAGATTGTGAACTCTTGCTCTATCCTCCATTGTGGCTATCTGCACCTGTAGGTCTGCGCATTGTTTTTGTGACTGGGTGACTGGCTTGAGGGATCTTCGCCAGGTTAGGGTGTGTCTGGAGAAGTCCTGGAAAAATATCAGCAGTACCCCCTCAAACAACATCATAAAGCAGCCTCTCACAGCCCCCATGATTGCTCTGGCATCTGTGTCCGATTGTGCCAGTTTGGTGCCCTCCATGCCTTCCTCCACAGCTTGCACTTTGTCTGTGAGTTTAGTTACCGCCTCCTAGATTGGGGCCATGTCCGCTTTAAACATAGTTTTAATTTCAGCCATTTGGGTCCTGATGTCTGCTTTGATGGCCAGGATGGAGGTAAGAAGGAGGTAAGAAGTCGGCATTAGCGCTGTCATCATCCGATGACGTTGGTGTGTTGGCCTCAGCTGGTGCCATCTTGGCGGAGTCTGGCCACGAGGTTGTGCAAAGAAAATTGCCTATATCCCCTATATCGTGGGAGCCCGAGTCCGCTTGGTGTTTCTTTGCCTTTTTCCACGTGACTTTGGGGATCGAGTTGGTGCCCTTGGAGCTAAATAGCGGGGTCTGAGACTTTTATTAGCCTGGTTTAGCGGGTTGATCTCACGGAGATGTCTCGATGTGAGTCCAGCTCGTGCGGGTGCTGGCTCCACCCCCCTCGCTCTGATTGATACTTAATTGAGTGATCAGTGGTATGGGAGGAAGCTGGTTTTCTTTTTTTAATCTCTTCTTGCGAGAAGAGAGAAGTGAATAATCGTATTCATAGTTCTAAATTAGGTGATGAATTAAGAGCATGTGGTAATCAGATAAGGGTATATCCCTTAAAAAAAAAAAAAAGAAGAACAAAAAGAAAGGGTTCTCTCCCTTTCTCCCTCTTTCCTTTCTTTTGCCTGCTGTTCGGAACCAGATTAAATGTCCTTAACTGCACCTTATCTCTCTTTATCTCTTGGATTGTCTCATGGATCACATTGCTTTTAAAATCTTGATATTTAGTTCTAGATTCTGGATTCTGAAAATATAGTTGGTCAAATATGCCAAGGTTTTTGATATTTATAGGATTGATTTCATTTTGCCCGACATAGTAAACCTATATCCTATTATCCTATAATTTCCTTCTAATTTTAGAAAAATCTATTTAAACTACACTGACTGGTGATCACTAGATCCTAAACGTTCACCTACAGTAATAACTGATACCAAATCTCCATTTGTTAACACTAAATCTAGTATGGCTTTCTTACGAGTGGGCTCCTCAACAACTTGTGTTAGCGATAATCTCAGTAGGGAGTTTAGAATATGTGTGCTCCTGGCACAAGCAGCTATTTTGGTTTTCCAATGCCATTTTAGCCATCTCCTCAACTAGATTATCTAACTTTTCCATTTGTCGAGGGGACTAAAAATTACACCTACACGAGTTACTGTGCCATTAACAAATTCTAATGTAACCCAAACTGACTCTATGCTCGCCTCACTAACTTGTATTAGGTTAGATTTTATGCTATCCTTCACACACAGGGCAACCTCTCCCCATTTCTTGCCTTCTCTGTCTTTTCTATATAAAGAGTACATGGGTATTGCTATGTCCCAGTCATTTTTCTCATTATACCATGTCTCAGTAACAGACATTAAATCTATGTTCTCAGTTGCCATTATTGTCATACGTTCATGGATCTTATTCCCTAAACTGGAAGATTTTGTAGACACACTTGCTACAGGCACTTTCTGTCCTTGTTTTGGGGTTCAATTGGATTGATGTTTTATCACCCTTTGCCCCTCTACCCTCCCCTTAGTTTAACCGCTTAGTGAACAGACCGTTTTTTTAATTTTTTACCGTTAAGGACTAGGACCATTTTTTTTATTTTCATCATATATAATTTACTATAAAAACAATTATAAAATATGATGGAAATATTTTTAAAAACACACTTTTTCTAACCTTGACCCCCAAAATCTGTTACGCATCTACAACCGCCCCAAAAAAACCTTGCAAAATAGTTTCTAAATCTTGTCCTGAGTTTAGAAATACCCAATGTTAACATGTTTTTAACTTTTTTTGGAAAGTTATAGGGCTACAAGTACAAGTAGGAAATTGCTATTTCAAATATATATATTAAAAATGTATCAATAGTGTTATCTGTCATAAATCACACCTCACATTTTTTTTTTAAAGTATGACAACGCAGGGTATTCAATATGGGGTATGTACAGTCTTTTTTAGTAGCCACTTAGTCACAAACACTGGTCAAAGTGGCAAAGTGCCATTTTTTATTTTATTTTTTTGTGTGTTAAAAATGCAAAAAATAATTCTGAATGCTAACTTTGGCCAGTGTTTGTGACAAAGTGGCTACTAGAAAAGACTAAACATACCCCATTTGCAATATCGTGGGTTGTCTTCTTTTGCAAATGGTATACCATCATGGGGTAATTCTTATTCCTGGGCTACCATACTCTCTCAAAGGCAACATAACCAATCTGGCAAATTTCACTGTGAAAAAATGGAAAATCAAGCCTTATATTTGACCCTGTAACTTTCAAAAATACTATAAAACCTGTACATGGGGGTACTGTTATACTCAGGAGACTTTACTGAACACAAATATTAGTGTTTCAAAACAGCAAAACGTATCACAACAATGATATCATCAGTGAAAGTGCCATTTGTGTGTAAAAAGTGCAAAAAAAGTCACTTTCACTGACAATATGATTGCTGAGATATGTTTTACTGTTTTAAAAAACTGATATTTGTGTTCAGCGAAGTCTCCCAAGTATAACAATACCCCCAATGTGCAGGTTTTATGCTGTTTTGGAAAGTTACAGAGTTAATATAGGGCTTGCCCATTTCAGTTTGCCAGATTGGTTTGCTGTGTCTGTGTTGCCTTTTGAGACCATATGGTAGCCAAGGAATGTGAATTAACCCCATCATGGCATACCATTTGCAAATGTAGACAACCCAGGGTATTCAAAATGGGGTATGTCCAGTCTTCTGTTCTGTAGTAGCCACTTAGCCACGATCGCTGGCCAAAATTAACGTTTTTATTTGTTTTTTGGATTTTTAATTTTTTTTTACGAAAACTGCACTTTTACTAGTGATATAATCATTGTGATAAGTTTTACTTTTTAAAACACTCATATTTGTGTTCAGCGAAGTCTCCCGAGTATAACAATACCCCCCATGTAAAGGTTTTATGGTGTTTTGTAAA